TCCTCTCGCTCCCGCACCTTCGGCTGCCTCGTCCCGGCTCCTCTCGCTCCCGCACCTTCGGCTGCCCCGGGCCCGGCACTGGTCCCGGCCTTGGAGCCGCATGGGCTGCTGCGAGATGGCCCTGCTGGGGCAGGGCTGCCACGGGATGGGCTTGGAGTCCCTGCCAAGCCGAGCCCTTCTGGGACTGAAAGGGAGACGCTGTCTGGGATGGATCTAATCTGACAGTGGTTATTGTCTTTCTTGCATTTCTGTGAACTCTTGCACTAATGTTTGTAACCCAAAATATTATAAAGCTTATCAGGGAGACTTGCTGAAAATTTCAACAAGTCTCAGAAGGGGAGAAATGTTGGGAAAATCTTTAATTTCAACAATTAGTGTTGAAGTCTTGAAAATTCCTTCAGCTGGACCAGACAGGGCTTACTCCTGTATCCACCCACGGCTGCATTCAAGTGGATATCTTAGTCCTGGGACTAAACCATGAGGGCCCAAGCACCACTGATAAGGAGTACCTTGGCCAGCCCAGGGAGCTGGGAAGCATTCCAGAAGCAGAAAGCTTTTTTTTTGAGGCCTGTGACTAAAGAAGGGTAATTTGAAGAAGGGATGTTCCCCAAAGGGCCTCCAGAGACCCCTACTCTGATGTAAAGGAGATCTGAGAAGTGATTTAAATATGTGCAAGAATTTGTGGGAGCGTTTAGTGCATAAGCACGAGTTTGGGGAACTGTATTGCACCTGTATTGGTTACACACATAGAAACCTGGGTGTGAGACAGCTGAGTGTGTGATGGGAGGAGACCCCCCTACCCCCCACCCCCACACCCGGGGCTTAAAAAAGAAAAACCGCGTTCTAATCGTGACATTGCAGTGACAGGGAGTTTTACTGCCCTTCGGTGACAGTCCCAGTTGCTCCCAGTGTGATCCCAGTTGCCCCAGTTCTGGTCCCGAGGGGTGCCGGTCCTGGTCCCGGTGTATCCTGGTGTCCCAGTCCATCCCAGTCCGTCCCAGTCCCTTTCCCGGCAGCCGTTCCCGGATCGTGCCCCCCCGCCCCCCCCAGATGCTGCCGGGGGTGGGGGCTCCGTGTTTGGGTTCGTCTGCCGGGGGTGCCGCGATTCGTGCCCGTGCCGGGTGCCCGGGGGTGGCGGGGGGACCCGGGGCGGTGCCGGGAGGGGTCCCGAAGGGGCTGGCGGGCAATTGCCGGCAGTTCCCCCGTGCCCGCCCCCCGCGCTCCCTCGGGCACTTTCGCTTTCCATCTCCCAAACTGCGGGGGCCAAGCGGGGCCAG